CTTTGTTTTGGACATTCTCCTTAATGCTAATAAACACCTTTAGAAATAATACATCTCCCCATTTTATGATTTGTTTGGTGTTAATAATCAAAGTTGTTGCTTCTTTCAAGGAAGTTTGTATGGTTTAAAAATACACGGAGGAGACACTTTATTGGAGAAAAGTAAGATTCCTGTTCTAGTGAATCTTGTGCTTTTCCATAGTCAAAACTCATGGTAACTGCGGAGCTTTTATTTCTATAGTTCTTAGTCAATTGTGTGATTATAAAGACGTGGCCTGCAGGAGAACATCACTTGCAAAAGTCTATGTTTTCACTCCTTGTGCCTTAAGTAAGGATTCCCTCAATACATGTTTACATCATTTTCATTAAAATTTTGTAGTAAAGGAAAGCAGTCATGTTGGCTGGTAATTGTTAAATATTTTCTCTAACTTTTTTCATTAGAAATAAACATCTATAATATCTTCTAAACATTGGTTATCCTCTTATATTTTGAACCTCATTTATGTATACTTCTATTATGGATCCTCTTCCTGTCTTTGTTTTCTTCAGTGCTATTTCTACTTCTTGATGTAGAAAATTGGGCTTTGTGATATTAAAGTTCAAACATGTTGACTCCTGTGATAGAAAAATAATTTGTTGATTTTACAAATCTTCCAAATTTTCATCTATTTTTTCCTTCTTTCAGTTTCTTCCTTAAATGTCTTGAAGATGATTCAGCTTAATAAGGCATCCTGGTATGCTTTCTGTAAACTTGATCTTCCTTTCACCTCTGTTTGCTATTTAATGATGATATAATGTTCACAATCCTCCACTATCTTCCTCTGGAAGATTTCTGACCTTGACTTCCATGTTTTTATTTTTGGCAAGAGGAGCAGGTATTTACTGGCTAAGGTATCTTACTCCTTCTCTTGGTTTCTTTGTTGTGAGGATTGATTTATATCCATTAAACTTCCTTGAGAAATGACGATAATCCATGTCAATATATGTACTTTTAACTGTTTACCATTTGAGGGCATCAATTGCTTCCTAAGATGGTTCAGGTTGGCATTTCTTTAATTGCTTAATATCATATCATTTTTATTTTTTAAAATTTGGCAGTAATTTTGATCTTTGCACTAATAAGATGATAGTCAAATTATATGCAGAATGCCTATCTGAAAATACTTCCACTTTATTAACCATTTTTTTCCTGTTTTTATTTATTTATTTTTGGTTATTCAATTCTAAGTAGTATTACAAGATCATAAGTTTAGGTTGATAGGGACCTTAGTGGTCATCTAGTCTAGCTCCCTCATTTGACTTGGCCACCATCACAGAAAAATGATTTTAACTTATGATCTCTGACTTTGAATCCAGCTCACATAATCATGTGTGTGTGTGTGTGTGTGTGTGTGTGTGTGTTTGAGGTGTCAAACACCTGCCAACTCTCTTAAAAGAAAAAAAAAGTATTCATAAAACAGAGGTATGAGGCTTCTATACAAACTAAAAATATTTGGTGCATTTTGTTTTTTCTGAAACATATCTTCAAATTCACTTTTTACTGATTTCCCCTGTGTCCAATTTGATATCAAAATCACCAGATATTAAAATATATTTGACTTAAATTAGAGGGTTTTATTGAATTTCCATAGAATTTATCTACCTCAATTTATCTACCCAATACCTGTAATGGATATTGGTGAAACATTGTCATTATCTTCATGTTCTTTTTGCAAATGCTTGTCGTAAGTAGGGAAAGGTGAAATAACTAAATATCCCTTGAAATGAGGTTTATTGTTCACTTTGCACATACAACAGAACCAACTCTGTCAATGACTGAGGGTCATTTTATATTTTTTTTTATTTGTTTCATGGGTATTCATGACTAAAAACTTCATCCCCTACAGGTAAGTCAGACTGCTGGTGATGATCCTCCCTGTGCTTCTTTAGGCTGGTTCTTAAAAAATAAACATAGTTTGTTGCCAGGACAAAGAGAAGTTAAATTACTTCCTGAAGGTTACACGGGTCCTAAGTAGCAGAATCTCTGTTTTGAACCCAGGTCCTCATACTCAAAATCCATCAAAGCACTCTACCTCTTGAGCATAGTGAAAGAAATGAAACATCACTCTGACCAGAGTGGCTGAAAAATATGTGGACTATGAACATGAGAGAATTGTTTATATGAATATTGTAGCATAAAAGCAACAGGAAAACATTATCTGTTTGCCTGCCCAGTACCATATTAATGAATGCAAATACTGATCAAAGAATGTCAACTTGAGCTTCATTGCCAGAAAAAAAAAATTATGGCCCAGCACCAGAACATTCCTTTGTTCTTTTACATAAGTGGAGTTGATGAATCATCTGATGCTGAAGTCTGCTCTAACAAAAATGGAAGTCTTTTGGGTGGGAAGTATGCATATTTTCCATAGAGATTTGCAAAAAACTCTCCAAAGGCCAGTTGTTTCCAGTTTAAGGAGAAATAGCATTGAAAATCATGATTATTGAAGTCATTCAGTTTTAAAGTAAAGGTTGACAAGGAATTTGTAATTCTAGAATTTCATAAAGGCATTAGAGGAACCACACTAAGCATGTTCACCAAAGTCCCTGACTTCATCTCATATGGCCCTAGGTGGTATAAGTGTGATAAGTAAGAAACAATATGCTACTAGGGGAAAACATAGACCTCAAGCAAGTATAGTTTTTTTTCCCTTTGAATTTTGACAAGCTAAACAATATTACATATTATTGATGTATTTCTGCCTTGGAGATCTCTGTATTATATAACTGTAATATTACTTTCTCGGACTTTCCTTTTTAAGCTATCCAGAAACCTGAAAAGGTGAAAAGTGCAAGGCAACAGGATATCTAATGGGCATGTCTCCCTTATGTCCCATATCCTTCAGATGCAAATCAAACTGATTAAGTCCACAGTGGTTCTTGGTCCTGATTATTCTACTTCTCATCTCTTCATGGAGCTTCACAGCAGCAGTGCTCTTATTAATAAGTTTTCTGTTTCTGCCTCTAAGTGTTGCTATATTTTATGAAAATGAAAGACAAAGCTTATATAGATGAAAAACTACATTTGACCCAAAACTGAAACTACTTTTGTTTCCAAAAATAAGCTCATTTGGTCTGGGAAAATTCACAGTGTTGTTCTCTCTTCTATTTTCCATTACAGAAAAAAATATTTTTGTTGAAGACAAATAATTCTCTTGAGCAACTCAAGTTGCATTCGTGCGCGTTTATGTTCTGTGATTGGAGAGGTAAATAAACTTAAATAGTGTTTCCTATTCACATATGAACAGATAATGGCTAAAACTAACTTTCAAAGGTATTCATTTTTTCATTCTCTCTCTCAAGTAGGGCAGGTATGGGTAAAATGAAATTTGCATTTTATCTCTAACCTATTTAGAAGAGCCTGAGTGTCCCTTTTTAATCTTATAGACTGATACCACCATGGCTTCCTAGAATAGAAAGGAATCATCTTTCTCTTTGATGGTCTCCCAAATGCTCTGATGCAAAAGTTGAGGACCCAGCCATTCTTTTGTTATCTCTTCTTCACCCTGCCCTTCTGCAAAAAAAATTACACTTAATTTTAGTCACATAAAAAGGAAAGTTGTGAATGGAGACGTGGAAATCACTCCACCCAAGCTGAGAAAAGGCAGAGGATGGTATCATATTTATCTCCCTTCCATTTTATCAGTTAAGAAATACTTATTGAAAGCTTACTGATATGCTAGACACTAGTGTAACTTCATGGAAAGAATACCCTGACACAACAATTCCTTTTAATTTACTATGTCATATTCATGGACTTGGATGAGAGTCACACAATGTGGGCAGACATTATTTGAAGGTGGAAGAAGTACCCAGACCAAGGAATCCTGGATCATTCTAAGTCTTCTGAATGTAGATATTTCATGACTATATTCCATACTAAAAAATCTGGCGTGATCTATGACTGTGATCCTTTCCCCACTATTTCTGATCAGTCACCAAGCTATGTTCATTCTTCCTTTGTGATCTCTTTTATCCACTTCTCCTCCCTGACACCTCTCTAATTCAGTTCTTTATCAAAAGATGCTCATGTTTCTCCACCTTCAATGACACCCCATGTCCCAGGCAGTAACATCCGAACAACCTGGCATTCAAGGACTTCCACAATCTGGTCCCAATTTCCCATTCCATACCTTTCCTTCTACTTCCATGACTGATTGCTTTGATTCAAACTATTCTATTCATTGCTCTTTCTAATGGTCTTGAACATTTCTGCTTTGGTGGCTTTGTGTATGACATTCCCTTGGACTAGGGTAGTCTCCTCACTTTTCTTACTGTGCTAAATCCCACCCATCATTTTAAGGGCTCAGTTCATGCTTCACCTATTCCAAGAAGGTTTCCATGAGCTGTTGAACCTGAAGGACTCTTAATTAGGGACTTACTAACTGTTATATTCACCTGAGACTAATTTTATATTACATTTTAACATTAGTTACTTTTGGGGAGGAATTTATCTTAGTTATACTATTAGCTTCTTAAGGATAAAGATTATCTTATATGTCTTTGTATTCCCCACTGATTCTAGGATAGCATTTTGAATAAAGTAGCATTCAGTAAATGATAACAATATGCTTTAAGGTTTGCAGAGCCTTTTACATATATTCTTTCATTATATCCTTATAACAACTCTGAGAGGTAGCTGCTATTAATATCCTCATTTTGCAGATGAGAAAACTGAGGCTGAGAAGGGTTAAGGGACTTGTTCAGGGCCACACAGATAGAAAGTGCCTGAGTCTGAATTTGAACTTGGGCATCCTAACTCTAAGCTCAGCACTTTACTCACTGTCCCACCTAGGTGTCACTGGGCTGGTCTCTCAAATTCTCTGTTGTAAAGGTTGTAGTTCTAGCTATGCTATTGTTTTATTTAATTGATTACTTGAATGGAGAATTTATTTTTGACTGATTTTAGGTAATATTCCTATACAGTAAAAAAAAAATTACAAGAGAAATATGGAAACTGACCTCCCTCTGCTGAACAGATGACCACAATATTGCTGAAAGGTCCATCCCCTTTGTTATTATATACTCCAACTTTCACCTCAAAGGGAGTGAGTGGAGGTACACTTTCATCTCTGTAGATGAACTTTGAAGCATCTGATGAAGTGACCATTTTTTCTTTCCAACCACGGGTTCCATTGGGTCTAAATGCCACAATGTAGCCAAATCCTTCCCCATTCTGAAACTCTTCCGATACTGGCTGAAGAAGAAAAGTGCAATTACTCATCAGAAATGTTAAATACTTTTAAACACTTGAGGTTTGCCATGAATCGCTTTAAATTAGTGACTTTCTATAAAGAGAGAACCTAGCAGCTTGTAGCTCCCTGGGCACCCGGCACAATATAATGCATATATTACATAGTAATAAATATGTGTAAAATGAATGAGAAAAAAAGAATTTTTGAATATAAGTAGCACATTGAAAATTATGATGGCATAATTGCTCCAAAGTATTCTGCAAAATCAAAGACTTTGAAAATAACTTCTGAAAAATTCAAATTAAAATAAATTTATTAATCCTCTAAATCCTAGACACTGGCTTGATAACACTTGGTTCTTCCTTTTTTTCTTTTTAACTATCTAGTACTGACATTCTTTAAATTAAAATATTATTTTCTCCCAATTAGTTGTGTCATAAAATGAATATTGCCAAGGTCCCAAGTTCCACTGGGCAAAATTAAATGGCCATTAAGTTGGGAAAAATCTGTTCTACTTGGTAGGTTTAGTGTGGTCACTCTCACAGCAATTTTAGGATTATATGTCAACATAATACCTTACAATCTATTCTTTCTAGTGTTGAGCTCTGCATGTTCTATGGAAGTATGAAGAGACCTATATCATTATATTTATCTTATAACTTTTGTTTATATCCATGTCATATGTAAATGTGTTCCAATGGGGTTGTGCTACCTAAAATAAATAAATAAATGAAAATAGATGATTCAATAAACCAGAAAACTGAGATTTGGTTAAAAGTGACAGTCTGTGGTAGAAAAGAAGTTATAAAATACCTAGTTAATGGCCTAGTTAATATAGGATAGATACTTTCTATATGAAGAGATGAATTTTTATTGTGCTTGGAAAAATGACATCTTATTCACTTCTGAGTTCAGTTTCAATGGCATATATATATATATATACATACACACTAACAATTATTTATATGTTATCTATTTGTATTTTGGTAATAAAAATACATCTCCATAAAAGTGACTGAATGAAGAGTAGGTATCTATTCTTTCCTATAACGGGCACTTGAAGAGACACAGATTGCAGATTTTAGCTATGAAAGGATGCATGCAGAGGAGTTAGAGTAGTGAAATCAGTGAACACCAGACCACATAAACCAAGGGTCTGGACAAATCTCTGAGAAGTTTTGTCCAGCTAGCTCCATGTGATAGCATATCACAGTATTGGAGAAAAGTCACCTGGGTAGCTGCTGCAAAAAAAAAAAAATGAAAAGCTCATTTGGGGCATCATAATTGAGATGAAAGGTCCAAATTGCTGCACATCCTCATTTGAAGAGAGGAAACCTCAGGTTCTTTGTATTGGCCATATTTTGGTGGGGAAAAAAGTCTTCATCCTCTAAAAATTCTAGATAAAGTCCAATGATGGAGAAAAAAGCTTCCTTACCTCCCATGCTATCACTAATTCATGCCGTCTTCCACTTCTACCACTTACATTAGCAGGAGCTGTCTTTGGAACTATAAATCAAAAAGGACAGGGGTGGGAAAAAAGAATACTCATGTTATTTAAACTTGTCTACAATAAAGATGAAGTTGAGTCCAAATATCAACAACAATAATAAGATACATTTCTATTTCTGCTTTAAATGCTTTAAGGTTTACAATCAATCAAGGAACATTTATTAGGCACCCACTGTGTGCAGGTACCATGCTAGGTGTTAGCAAAAAGAGGAAGTTAAATGAGAATGTTCTCTGACCTCAAGAGCTTTCAATCCACTAAGGTTACAAGATACCAACAGACATAACTCAGAGTGCTGTAAGATAAGGACATTAGAAAATTACAAATTGCTATGAGGGAAGAAAATCATTAATGAGCTAGGAGTTTCCTGGAGGCTTCCTGAGAAAGACAAGTAGGAATTCCACAAATGAAGATGGTTATGAAGCCTCTTCCTCACAACTCTGACAGGTAAGTAGCAAGTATTATTATCTATATTTTAAAGAAATCAGGTTCAGAGAAGTTTGGTTTATTTTCTATAATTACACAGTTAGTAAATGTTTGAGCTGAGATTCAAGCTAAGGTCACCACTATGTTATTGCCTCTCAAATACAAAATATACTTTTCTGAATTTATAGTAAATATAGTTGATATTACAGCATATATAATATTTGTTTACAGCACTTTGCTAATGAGACAAAAGCCATATTATAATCTTCACATGGACAAGTCTGCTTGAGTCTTTTCCTAAAGCTGACTTCATTCCTAAATCCACCTTCTTGCAAATGAATGACTACAGGAAGAATTGGGTAAGACAATGCGTGGCATGACACTAATCCATACCCAAAATTAAAAGAACAACTTACTCCTCAGTCCCCACCATCAGTAGGTTAACAATTTCAACTTCATGTATGAAGGACATCAAATATATATATACTCTATACCCAAAGAGTAATGGAGAAACATGTGGCAGTTGTAAGAAGGCTATACAGTACGCTAGTACTGATGACTCTGATATATGAAATAGAGAAAAGGGCCTAATAAAGAGCCATCTATGATCTGAAAAAATGGTGAAGTGATCATGCTGGAAGAGTTAAGGATAAAAGCTAGATAGTCTGAGTGTTGTCTTGACATCCTTGAAATATTAAAAGGTATAGGGAAGATTTCTAGTACATAGGCTAGATGCATTATAGAAAATTTATGGAAAAATATGGGCACAGATTACACAGAATGGATTGTAACTTGCCTCTATGGAGGTAGTACTCGCACAGCTGAAATCACAGATCCATTGAAATGATAAAGGACACATCATGCATAGATATAATGAACAAATATCTGTAATCCTTATGCTTTTATGTTAGATAGTTCCATTGAACCATTCAATATATCAGTCTATGACTATGGGAATATTTAGAGTTTAGTATCAAAAATTGATCAATGCTCTTTTGGAATGATGGAAAAAGTCTTCTTTAGCATTTATTAGGGCTTTGACACTGTTAGAGAGGGAGGCATGGGAGAAATCTCCCTCTCCATTGCATAGTGAAAATGTGACTAATATTAAGTAGCTGATGTAATTTTAAGGTAGGAAATAAGCATTTATTAAGAGCCCTCTATATGCCAAGAACTGTGATAGTACTTTACAAGTAATATCTCATTTGATCCTCATAACAACCCTGGGAGGTATGAACAATTATTATCTCCATTGTACAGTTGAGGCAGACCAGTTAAATAACTTGCTCAGGGTCACAAAGCTAGGAAGAGTCTGAGGCTATATTTGAACTTCCTTATTTCAGGCCCAGTACTCTGTCCAATGTACCACCTATATGACTAATTTTAAGAGAGATGCTATATAGCTTATAATTTTTCTGAGAATAAACGTTTTCCAAATTATATTTGTAGAAATTCTTTTAAGATGTCCTATTGAACATAAACTAGTAGAATATCTGGTTTTCTATCTAGCATATTTGTACTGTGTTTTGTCTTGTGTCTTCACTAAAGAAACAATTTAAGGCATATGTGTATATAACCACATATCTGTATCTGTATGTATATGTGTATACAGGCATATGCATGTGTGTATGTGTGTGTGTGTGTGCGCGTGTATGTGTGTGATTTTATCTGTGTACAGAATACCAGGAGTGGCAACCCCTCTATAACTTTTAGTTAACTATAACTTTTATTCTTAGAAATGTTGCCTAATCAGTAGAAGGTAAATGACTTGCTAATAATTACAAAACTATATGTACCAAAGGCTAGACTTTCTAGACCAAAGACTCAGATCTTTCTGTCATTAAGATTGGCCTCTGTACCACATACTCCCTATGGAATATACCCCATATGTAAACCAATGCCTAATCTGGTGAGATTGCATGATTGAAAAATCTATATGGAAGCTTTTAAATGTATTTCCAGTGAAAATTAAAATAGAATGTTCAGTTTAAAATACTTTTTTTTTTGTTGGCATTGCAATTCGTTTAATTAACTCTAAATTATTCATGCTCAAAACATACCTTTCAGTAATAAATGTGTTGTGGTAAAAGAGGGCTAATTTTTACAGTGTTGGTATTCATACCAACATTTCCCAAAGCACTTGCTTGAGTAAGAGTTTGTGCCTTGATTAGAACATATAATAAATTAAAATATTTTTACATTTTCTATAAATTTTACATTTTGCCCAGGGAGTTAGGCCCATCATACATTTTTCTGTGTTATTCTCTCTAATCAAGGTGTAATGCGTTACATAAGCAAATAATTACCCTTAAAATAGAAATGTAAATAGAAGCATAATTTCTAAATCTGTTACTTGTGCTTCCCTTATTTGGAGTCAGGAGAGTCAGTCATTAGCAGCAAAACATAATGAGGCAAAATTTCATTTCTTTTACTTTCAGTCCTACCTATAATGAAAGTTTATTCAAAATGATAGATTTTTTTTTTGGAATATTATAGGAAGGAGAGGATTAAGTATCTGCTTAAATTTCTTAGGCTTCCCTGATTCTTGCAAAATGAGTTGAAAATATGGAGATGATATTAATTCTTGTATTGTAGCGTATTATTAACAATGGTAGGTAGGCAAGAAGTGACCAAAAGAAAAAAAAAGACATAAAGAATGTATAGGACTGGAAATCAAAGTGGTCCAACTACATATCAAGAGTAAGGGAAAATAAATGGTTAGTACAAGTGCAACATGAATATACACAGAATTGGAACAGAAGCACAGAAAGATTTCCTCTATGGCAATAAGGGGAGCTCCTCTATGGAAGATACATTGAGACACTGATGTTTAGTTTTGCTCAGTGTGTTTTCCCTTCTGCCATCTGTTTCAGTACTTATAGTCTTTTGTCTTTGCTCTCACGATCTCGTCTTCTCAGACATCTCATTTCCCATCCTGCTCACTCATTTTGAACTTCTTTGGCTTCTCCAGCATCCCCCTATCTCTACCCCTTCTGAGTATCTCCTCCTGAAATCCCCCTCCCCCCTCCTATATCAGCTTTCTTTTTTGTGTTGTCTAGACTTCAACTTGGTGAGGGCAGGGACTGTCTTTCTTTTCCATATTTGCATTCCCAGTGTCTAGTGTAATTCTAGGCACACAGAAAGTGCTTAAGAAATGCTTATTGAACATTGACTATTATTATCTCCTCCCTTGCCCCTTGCTTTCTTCTGGTTACCTATGAGTCTTTGCGGGGGGGGAGAGGAGAGAGGAGAAAGGGAAGTAGGGAAGTCAGTTAGTCAGTAAGCCTTTAAGAAGCGCTACTATGTGCCAGGCACTGTGGTAAGTGCCAGGGATACAAAGAAAGGCAGAAGACAGTTCTTGCTCTCAAGGAATTCATAGGCTACATGGAAGGGAACTATAGAATTACAGGAGAACTGGGGAGAGGGAGACAGTAATAGATAATTGTGTGAAAGTGGCCTTTCTTACAGAGAAACTAAGATAGAAAAGTATTGATATAGACCACTATGTCTCACATAATATTATCAGGGTATGTTTTCGAAGGCTCATTGCAGAGTTCTGAAGAGTCAAAACAAAACAAAACAAAACAGCATCTGTTTCATGGTTATGATGTCTGAAAAACGAATTTGGAGTTACTTTTTTAGAGGTTGCTGAAGGGTATGGGACCATGAGAAAGAGTCATCAAAGTATAACAATGTTATAGTTAGATAATTCATATACTAAAAGATTAAACTGTATGTTAGAATAATATCACAGTAGAAAAAGAACAATGTACTCATAAGTATGATTCTCTAGGTGGGCACAGTAGATAAAGTGCTGGACCAGCAGTAAAGGAAGACTTCTCTTCCTGAGTTCAAATTTGTCTGTGTGACCCTGGGCAAGTCATTTAACCCTGTTTGTCACAGTTTCCTCATCTGTAAAATGAACTGGAGAAGGAAATGGCAAACCACTCCAGTATCTTTGCCAAGAAAATCCCAAAGGGGGTCATGAAGAGTTAGACATGACTAAAAAATGACTAAGCAAAAACAACAAATATAAACCATAAAAAAAGTTTAAATTAATCATTGACTTAGGTTGATTTATTTTTTTCCTTGTACAGGGTCACCTACATTTCTTTATGTATGATCTATCTATATACCTCTATATAAAGGCAATGTGGTCAAGTAGAGTACTAACTTTGGAGTCAAGAAAATCTGAATTCAAATTCTACTTCTGATCCTTAGTATTAGTTTACTCTGGTGAGCCCCTTAACCTTTATGTGCCTTAAACACCTGTCTGGAACTTATCTGATAGAGTATAAGCTCTTTGAGGGCAGAAACTCTTTCATTTTTTTGTACCAGCCAGATGGTACTTAACAAACACTTGTTGATTGATTGACCTATTAAGTCATGGACTGTAGCCAATCTGTGTTGGTTCCACACATGTACAAAATCACACATTCATATCTGTATATCTGAATGGTCACCTTCTCTTATGTCTCATTACAACATGGAAAGACCTTGGCTTCCCAAAGGTTGTGCCAGTGAGCATAAGCAGAGAAGCATTTGAGTTTGGGTGTAGCAATGAACAATATGG